ATCTGTAATCTCAGCACTTTGGGAGGCCAAGGAGAGCGGATCACCTGAGGTCAGGGGTTCGAGACAAGCCTGGCCAACATGGTGAAACCCCGTCTCTACTAAAAATACAAAAATTAGCCAGGTGTGGTGGTACAACCCTGTAATCCTGGCTACTCAGGAGACTGAGGCAGGAGAATCGCTTGAACCTGGGAGGTGGAGGTTGCAGTGAACCGAGATCGTGCCACTGCACTCCAGCCTGGGTGACAGAGTGAGACTCTGTCTCAAAAAAAAAAATCTCCCACTTGATTCCTATCACTTTCTCTCTTTCCCTGTTTGCCTGCCAGATGGTACTCTCCAGAGCAAACTTGGAATCTTCATATTGAAGATAGCAGTACCTCTGTCAATGTGGGTCCCTGAATGACATTCCTCTTCCCTGGCCTCCCACCCCTTCACTCTAGGCTGCTGATTAAACTGTACCTGGAAAATAAACTTCCATTTTTTAAAGCTCCTGAGATTTCAGGGCATGTTTGTTGTAGCAGCTTGCATTGCCTTAACTCATACATTTGACTGGGACCCTTCTTGCCAGAATTGTTGGTGCATCTCATTCTGCCATTGGAAGGTAGAATGGGGTGGGGTAGGCATCCCTTCTTTGCTGCAATCATGTAAGAACCCAAGTTCATATAATCTAAGAAAACTAGAGGAATCCATTATGGTTGCTACTGAGATGCCTAATGTCCAAACCTCAGAGAGTCATTTGAGGGCAGGAGGCGCCACCAGAGCCACCCACTCCCTTTGTGCCAAGCCAGGCCGCCTAGACCTTCACAGTGTGGCATAGGTTAAGACCATAGGCTCTGCAGTCAAATGTTAACAAGACATTTGATCATTGTGTTTCAGTTTCCTTAAACATGTAAAGTAGCACTTCCTGTTCCATAGGTATAGGCAGATTAAATGAGCTAATGCAGCGGTCCCCAACCTTTTTGGCACCAAGGACTGGTTTGGTGGAAGACAATTTTTCCACCAAGTGGGGGTTGGCGCGGGAGAAGGAGGGATGGTTTCAGGATGAAACTGTTTTACCTCAGATCATCAGACACTAGATTCTTATAAGGAGTGCACAACCTAGATCTCTCACATGTGCAGTTCACAATAGGGTTCACACTCCTATGAGAATCTGATGCTGATCTGCCAGGAGGCAGAGCTCAGGTGGTAATGCTCGCCTGTCACTCACCTCCTGCTCTGTGGCCCGGTTCCTAACAGGCCATGGACTAGTATCAATCCCTGGCCTGGAGGTTGAGGACCCCCGAGTTAATGCATGTAAAATAAATGCCTGTAATGCATCTGACACATGGTGAGAACTCAGTAAATACTAGTAATTATCACTATAGACCAGTGCTAATGGAACTTTTTTTTTACAATAATGGAAGTGCTCTATATCTGTGCTGCCCAAAACAGTGGCCATCAGCCACATGTGACCACAGTATTGAGCACTTGAAACTTGACTGGGGTACTAAATTCTAATTATGTTTAACTTTAATTAATTTAAATTTAAATAGCCACATGTAGCTAATGGCTACCATGTTGGACAGCACAGTTATAGGCCATTTAATTGCTTCAGAAGGTTTCTATCTCAAACTGTGTAAGTCAGGATTCAATCACAGAAGGAGAACCACTAAGGTGCGTGCACGGGCGTGCGCGCGCACGCACACACACACACACACACACACACACACACACACACAAAGGGATTTGCTACAGAGATTTGTCCTAATACAACTGTGGGAGCTGGTTAAGCAGTTTCTATAAAGCTCTCATCTTCACATCTGATGCTGGGACTCGACATCTATGGGACAGGCAGTTGGGAAGGAAGGATAAATGTAAGATAAGGGAGAGCAAGAACAACCTGGAAACCAGAAGCATGCATTGTAGCCCACGAGAACAGACTGAGACCCACGTCACTTCTTGTTGCTTTTGACCTTGGCAGTATGGATGTCCTGCAGAAGCTAGGCCCTTCATCATAAAGTACACACATGGCCCAGGAGCCAAAGAAGCTGAAGGAAAACCCAGGAGAAGGTGGAGCAGTTACAGGCCCGGCAGCTCCCTGGTCCTAATAAGATAAGGCAACTGATCATTGCCAACCTATCTGAGCTACAAAATGGCTGCTGCCCACATCTGCCCAGATATCCCACAGGAAACTCTCTTCTGCCCTGCATTAATTAGAAACATGCAGGAAAGGGAATTTTGGGAAACGTAGTTAGTCTAGCGAAGGTGATGCATTATGGAGCCACTACACATACTAGCATGCTAATGAGCTCAATTTTCTATCTGTTAATACTTCTAAATAAAACATGAAGCTAACATCTCCCAAGGCTCTATTTCGTTGTTTCAGTTCTGCAACTGGCCTAGAGAATTCTGAAGATCCTTGCAGCCAGCTAACGTTATCTTTGAGTGGTAAGATTAGGAGTACTTTTAAAGTTTTTCCTTATATTTTTCTGTGGCTTAGAATTCTTCCCACATAAAACCACATTATGATTATAATCAGAAAAAAAAATTAGTTACTTTTTAGAAGCCAGCCTATGACCCCCTAGGGAGACTATGCATCCCACTTAAGGGCAACCCAATAACATCGTCATTAACTGTGTCTTTTACATTCTTCCTGGAAATTTCACCTGTTCTTGACTTTGTACAAGAACTTATAAGTTATGGTCATCAGATCTCCTGAAGCCCTCTGCCTCTCTCCTCCCCTGTTCTCAAAGTGATTCCAAGGACATTTTAAAAACTGGAAGCAAATAATATAAGGAGAAAAGAAACTGGAGTGGAAGTCTTGCACATAGAAGGGAGAAATCATTTTTAGATAAGTCACTGGGAAAATGAAGAATAGAGAATGCATCCTTGATATGGTTTGGCTGTATTCCCACCCAAATGTCATCTTGAATTGCAGCTCCCATAGTTCCTACATGTTGTGGGAGGGACCTGGTGGGAGATAATTGAATCACAGGAGCGGTTTCCCCCATACTGTTCTTGTGGTAGCAAATAAGTTTCATGGGATCTGATGTTTTTATAAGGGATTTCCCCCTTTCACTTGGCTCTCTCTTTTGCCCGCTGCCATGTAAGGCGTCCCTTTGCTCTTCCTTCCTCTTCCACCATGATTGTGAGGCCTCCCCAGCCATGTGGAAATGTGAGTCAATTAAACCTCTTTCCTTTATAAATTACCCAGTCTTGGGTATGTCTTTATCAGAGCATGAAAACGGACTAATACAGTCATTGTATTAACTACTGACGTGAGCAGTATTTACTGTGTATTCTTCTCGATACTTTAACAGTAGTACCTATGAAGTATGTCCTATTATAATTATATCTTCATGCCTGTTTTTCACCTGGGAAACTGAAGTGCAGATGGGTTAAGTAAGTGGTCAAAGTTACATAGTTAGCAAATGGCAGAGCCAGGATTTGGACCTAGGCTGTCCTGGTCTTTGGATCTAGGCTCTTAACCTACCTGCCACACTTCCTTTCTTCAGGGGTGCAGGACAGGGTCATGTGGACTGTGGGAGTTCGATAGATTAACTGCTGGCAGGCCGATTCCTGTTTATTCCTCACTCCCACATCCCAGTGACCCCCCCGCCAAATCCTCTCACTTTTACCTTAGAAGGATCTGTTGAACCTCTCTTTTCATGCCAGCTTCCCAAACATGGGTTCAAGTCCTCATCGTATCTTTCCCAGTCTACCCCTGTAGCTTACTCTCTGGCCTTCCCACTTCAGATTTCCCTCATTTATTTCATAGTTATATAAAAAATATTGTTCTGTATCAGGAACAGGGGCAAGGGGGAGGAGAGAATGGGGAGTTATTGTTTAACAGGTATGGGGTTTTGGTTTGGAAAGATGCAGAAGTTCTAAAGAGAGAAAGTGGAGATGGTTGCATAAAAATGTGGACATACTTAATGCAACCAAACTGTACACTTAAAAATGGTTAAGATGAGGCCGGGCACAGTGGCTCATGCCTGTAATCCCAGCACTTTGGGAGGCCGAGGCAGGCGGATCACCTGAGGTCAGGAGTTCGAAACTAACCTGGCCAGTATGGTGAAACCCTGTCTCTACTACAAATACAAAAATTAGCCGAGTGTGGTGGCGGGTGTCTGTACTCCCAGCTACTAGGGAGGCTGAGAATTGTTTGAACCTGGGAGGTGAAGGTTGCAGTGAGCCGAGATCGTGCCACTGCACTCCAGTTAGGGCAACAGAGTGAGACTCCATCTCAAAAAAAGTTAAGATGGTAAATATTATGTGTTGTATATACATATGTATATATATTCATAAAAACGTATATATGTGTATATATAGACATAAAAACATGTATATATGTAACATATATTTGTGGTTTATATATATAAATAATATATAATAAATATAAAAATAATAATTGTTCTGAAATGTACCTTAAAAAGCCTCTACTGCTTCTCCTTCTCTACAAGATAAAGCCTACATTTCTTAGCATAGCTTTCATTACTTGATCATCTGGCTCATGTACCATGCAGGACTCTAGCTTGGCCACCATCTTTTTGTGCTGATGACCTTGTGATCAGCCACTCCCTTTTGGCCCTTCTCCTGGAAAGACCCCATAGAACTGAGAGCTATCATTCAGCCTTGCTGATTATCACGGAAGTAGAAGGAATGATGGGTTAATAAGGAGATAGACTCACAGACAGCCTCTCAAGTGGCCAGAGAGCATAGAGTGAATGGAGATGGTATAGCTTAGTGAAAGAAGTATGGGCTCTGAAGTCAAACAAATCTGAGTTTGAGTTCAGGCTTACCATTAAACTCTCTATTTGTGAAATGAGGATGATTGTTTCCTATTTTAGGGCTATTGTGAGGATTATTAGCGATCATGTCCCAAATATAGTAAGTATTCAGTATAAGATACATATTGTGAATTCTCTTTAGCTCAGACTCAGTTAACTAAGTTTGGAAAGAAAGACATGGGTGATATTCTGGTTATCTATTTCTGTGTTACAAACCACCCCAAGCTTGGTAGCTGAATACAGCTGTCATTTAGTTTGCTCACAGATCTGTAACTTGGGCAGAGCTCAGCAGGAGGGCTCACTCCTGGTCCACGTGGAGTCAACTGGGGCATCTTGGCTGAGGGCTGGATCCTCTGCTTCTAAGATGGCCTGTGCACATGTCTGGCAAGTTATTGCTGGCTGTTGGCTGGGAGCTCAGTGGAAGCTAATGACTAGGAACCTCAGTTCCCATGTGGCCTCTCTACATGGCCTGGGTTCTAAGGATAAGAGAGAGGGAGAAAGAGAGAGAGTGAGAGCGAGCAGGCAGAAGCTCTGTTGCCTTTTGTCACCTATCCTCTGAAGCCCATAGTGTTACTTGCATCATGTTCTCTTACTCAAAGCCCATCCAGGATCAAGAGAAGGGGATATAGGTTCCACCTCTTGACAGAAGAGTGGCAAAGTTCTGGAAGAACTTGTGAGATGAGAAATATTGCTGTGGCCATTCATGGAAAATGCAATCTGCCACCAGGGGTTTTCAGCTTCTAGTTTAAGGCTTTAGACTTGGAGCCCATAGGGAAGTGGTTTCTGAGGTTTAAAGAGTGTCATGGGCACCATGTGCGACGTGGAACCAGGAGGCGGGGGACATGAGTTTTAATCCTATCACCAAGCAGCAGTCTCCTCTTACACAAAGCACTCACCTGGGGCCCTGGAGTTGTCATTTGTAACCAGATGGTACCCTCTTCAGCTTTACTCTTCCCCAGTTCTCTGAGACTGTGAGGTCCAAGCACTGTCCATTCCAACTCCGACATGTCAGCCATGGCTGAATCAGTGCTTCTCCATCCATCCTCTTTTCACATCAGAATTGTTAGAGGAGCTGTCAAAAATGCAAATGCCCAGGTTGAAATGATCAGGGGTGGGATCTGTACATCAGTCATTTAATTTAAAAAAAAAATTTTTTTAGAGATGAGTTCTTGCTGCGTTGCCCAGGCTGGTCTCAAACTCCTGGCCTCAAGTGATCCTCCTACCTAAGCCTCCTGAGTAGCTGGGATTTGAGGTGCTAACTACCACGACTGACTATATCAGTAATTTCCCTGGGGGTGATATTAACGTGCAGCCAGGGTTGAGAATCAGTGAGCTCTGCCATTTTGTCCATCTAAGTGTGTACAGGAAGTCAATCAAAGGAACCCAAGTGTAGCTGTTGCTTTTCGTGCCCCTGTCACATCCTTTTGAGCCATCTATGAGACCAGTCACAGAAGAGGTGGACAGTTCTGTGCTCGCAGACTTCTCCTGTCTGCCTCTGGGGTTTCCCCTGAGCCCTGGCAGCCTGCTCAGCTGTCACAGGAAGACCCCAGGAGTGCAGGGGAAGTAATGGCCCAGAAGCAAATGTCAACTGTTGGGGAGGGAGCCTTGGATAAATGCCCCAGCCTCCAGCCCTTCCTGGAGACAATTCTAGAAGGCATTCTCTATGCTTCTCAGAGGTCCCTTTGGACTTGAGCTCCCACTATCCACAACAAACACCCCAAACTTGGCTTCCATCCTTCCCTGTCTCTTTCTCCCTGCCTCCTGGGATCACCTCCCAAAGAATGTACTTGCGCTCCAGTCTTGATCTTAGGTCCTGCGACCCAGAGAACGGAAACTAAGATGCCAAGTGATCACTGCTCAATGGTGAACTGGCAAAGAGTGGTGTGAACTAAGGGAAATTGGAAAATCGCTCGCCACACCCAAACCACTAGTGCACGCACCCCTGCCACCTTTCCAGGCGCTTCTGCACTTAAGACTCCCACAAGGGACTCTTGCTAACCCATACATGACAGATGCTTTGGTGAGAAGGAACGTGTCAGCTGGCGAGCAGCAGAATCACTCGAGACACTAGTGGGGTCAGGTAGGAGAGGGTTTCTTTCTTCATGCTGTATCTCTTCTGGAGAAAGCAGAGATAACCCCACAGCAGAGGTGTCCAATCTTTTGGCTTCCCCGGGCCACATTAGAAGAAGAATTGTCTTGGGCCACACATAAAATACACTAACACGATAGCTGATGAGCTAAAAAAAAAAAAAAAAAATCACAAAACAATTCTCATAATGTTTTAAGAAAGTTCATGAATTTGTGTTGGGCCACATGTGGCCTATGGACTGAGGGTTGGAGAAGCTTGCCTAGGGCATGCATTCTCTATGGGGGTGCTATCATCCCCACTGGGGTGGAAAGTTGGTTCTTGGTGGGAAAAAAAAAAAGCTTATATATGACACAGGGCCAGGACTAGGATAAGGCAAGTCAGGGGTCCAGGGAAGCAAATATTAAGGAGACAGCCACTCCCAGGGCTGTGAATGTCCACACATACATAAACATATTAACTCGCTAGATGGCAACGAGCCTGCGCATAAAGAGATGAAAAGGATCAGGCAGAGGCAGAAAGTGTTGCAGTTTGAAATAGACTGGTCTGGAACAGCCTCTCGGAGAAGGTGACATTTGAGTAAAATGTGTAGAAGACTCTGTAGCAAACCAACGGACCCTGTTGGGGAAAAGTGTTCCAGGCAGGTGGAACAGCAAAGGCAAAGGCCCTGAGGTGGGAATATGCTTGGTGTGTTGGAGAAACGGCAGGGAGGCCAGGGTGGCTGAGTGAGGGGAGGGCAGGAGAAGATAAGGTTGGGGTAGAGAGCTGTCTGTTTCATGGGAATGTTGGGGAGATTTCATTGAGTGAGGAGCACAGGTATAAGGCCAGTGTCATCAGTGTCCAATAAAGGCGAGTCTGCCTTCCGCTTTCCCCACCCTCGAAGCCTAAGCAGCATTTACATGTCATCACACTGAAAGAGCTCTAGAAGCTACCAGCCTTGGGAAGTTATACCAGTCACTTTGGAAGTGAATGGAAATCATGGCTAGCATTCTAAAAGAAAAGCACAGCCAAGACGCTCCATTATCAGCATATCAGCACAGGCCAGGACCAGCAGCCTAGATTGCTAGCCATGTGTCTAGTTTCAGAGGCACTGGGAAGGGGGAATGATCCCCCAGTATCGTCTACTGGTCAGAAAGTTAATTTCAAGGCTCTCATTCTTTCTTAAGTGCACATCCCTCCTGGTGGAGCACGATGGACACCCAGTAGGTCAGTGGCCCTTCCTTCTTTTCAGCCCACAGCCCAAGATGAGAAGCGGCCCGGTGTAGTGAAGCTGGAGAGCCTGCCTCACATCCTAGTTCTGCCCTTTTACATGTAATCTTGGGCAAGTTACTTGACTGCTCTTTTCCTCCATTTCCCTGTCTGTAAAATGGGGATAACGTACCTTATAGGGTTGTTATGAGGGCTAAATGAGCTAATATTTATGCAGTGCCCGGTCATATAGTAACGGTGTATAAGTGCTTGTTAATTAAAAATAGACTCCCTTTTGGGACTCTGCTCTTCTCAGGAAAACATGCATACGAACACACATTTGCATTTTATTTTGGGGCATTTATGGATGCTCCAAAGTGCATCTCATGGACCCTTGGGGAAGGGACAGTTCATAAAGCCCCGAGAGAACCAGGATGAGTTCTGGAGGGATCAAGAGCCAGGGGGATGGGTGGGCGATACTGTGTGAAGGCAGGAGAAAAGCAAGAACTGGGGGCTGGGGGCTCAAGAACACATTTCACCTTCTTCCCGTTCTGGCCAAAGTCCACCTAGAACTGCTGATTGCTTGCTCCTTGGGAAGTTCCATCAGCTAAGAGCTGAAGTTTTCTTTCATGATGTCATTATTAATCGTTTAATAAATACATTATGTAAGAGTACTTATTGAGCAGTGTCCCAGCGCAAGTAAACATGTTTTGGATATGCCAGATTAGAAATGTTTTCATTCCGTTTGGGGGGTTATGTAGTAAACTCTGAAAATGCAGTTCCTGGAAGAGTGTCTGTTATCCCAAGCCCTGAAGAGCCAGTGTAATAACAACAAAAATATTGTTCTGTTTGGGATTCCCATATAAGAGTGCCTAGGCGTGGTGGCTTGTTTTTAATTATCTCTCTATGGAACAGTAATTCAATCCAGAGGACTGCCACCAGATTACAAGTTTCAGTCGGGTTGAAAATATTCATGCAAGGAGAGCTAGTCGTAATCTTTTTAGATCCACTCCCAAAAGATTAAGCCTTTGTCTTTCCCATCCAACTTGGGGAAGAACGTGGTAGAAGTAAATACTCACAGTATTACCACAATCATAGCTGTGAGACAACCATCTCACATTTGAAGTCTTAATATCTACCACAGTGTCAAACAGCAGGGAGAAAAATGAACACTTCAGAAACACCCAGACATGACCTTGCATGACTGTGGTGCAGGTAGTTTATTTGGGAGGTTATCCCAGGAATCAGGAGTGAAGGAGCAGGCATTAGGAAAAGAGAGAAGGGGGAAGGCATTAAGAAAAGAGGAAAAGTCAGTCACGGGTATGTTATTTAGGTCACCGCTGTAGGCAATGGGGGCTCACAATGGCTGACTTTTTAATGTTGTTTTTGATATGTATTTGGGTGGACATTTTAGCATACATTTGTAAGACCTGTTTAAGGCATCTATCTGCTATGATCCGCAGCTATAACTACCCTTCCAGACTTTGGAATCTGAGTCACAGTCATCTTAGAAGTATTCTTGAGTCTTTCCTCTGTTGACTCTGCATTAGTCATTTTGCCTTGTTACTTTCAGATCCAATCCCCAACCTTCCCTTACTCTGTATCACAGGGACCTGACCCCTTGCAATATCTTTCATGTCTCCTTGCCAACTGGCTTCCAGCTAGGTTCGGCCAGTGGGTGGCAATGACAGGAGATTGGAGTGCAACAGGAAAGGGGGAAGTCAGGGTATTTCTCCCCCTCTCTCGGTTTGGCTGGCATCTCTAATGGGGACTGTGTCTCTTCCGTGATTCCAGTCTCACTGGACAGACCCCCTCCAACATCCCTTGGCCTGAACTCCTGCCTCATGGCTCTGTTCATCGGTATCTGGTAATATTACCTCCCTCCTTTGCTCTTCCAGCATCTTCCTGCTGTTACTCACCTTTGGATTGCTCCAGTTCTTCATCGTTGCACCATTTCCCTGTGTTATATTTCTGCTCTTGAACTACCTGTCATGGGTTCCCGACTGATCTCTGACTGATGGAGATTTCTTAAGGATTTCTTTAGTCATTGCAAAAATATTTTAGGACATCAACCACAAACAAGACACTGGACTAGATTCCTGGAAGGTAATAAATAAAGCATCAAGCAGCTTAGCATCTAGTTGGGTAAACAAGGCACACAGTGGAAAAGTTAGATGACATCTCTCCAAATGCCAAGTGAATGAAGGGTGTAGTCAATGAATACTTGAAGATATAAAGAGGAGAGAGCCAGCTCCATCAGCTTTTGTAACCAGGGCATGCTTTAGAGGGCCAGGGAGCCAACATAAAGGGGTCATCTCCCAAAACTTACAATTTTGTAAAGCAAGGTGAAAAATTGGAATTTTATTTGAAATTTCCTGATTTTTAAATGTTGGTGAGTAATTCAAATTTTCAGTAACTTGGAGCTGGGCATGGTGCCACACCTCTGTAGTCCCAGCTACTCAGGAGGCTAAGGCAGGAGGATCACTTGAGCCCAGGAGTTTGACCCCCCCATTTCTGAAAAAAAATTTTTTAAATAGCCAGGTGTAGTGGTATATGCCTATAGCCCCAGCTACTCAGGAGGCTGATGTGGGAGGATCCCTTGAGCCCATGAGTGGTAGGCTGCAGTGAGCTATGATTGTGCCACTGCACTCCAGCCTGGGCAACAGAGCAAGACCCTGTCACTAAAAGGATAATAATAACAAAAAACTCCAGCATAATTCCCACTATGTAGACAAGATAAAACTTGTTTGGAGGCTGAATTGAGACTGTGGGTGTACAATTGGTGGATGGATTACTGTATGGGGGAAGAAATAGGATGCAAAGAATGTTAGGATTCCTTCCAATTAGAAGGTTCTAGGGTTCTAATTTTTCATCCAGGTATGAGGCAATGATGGTCTGGGTATGGAAGAGGGCAGTGAACATGGGGAGAAGGGACAGACGAGAGCGAGATTAAGGAAAATTAATAATAATACCCTACGGCCAGGCACGGTGGCTCACACCTGTAATCGCAGCACTTTGGAAGGCCAAGGCAGGCAGATCACTTAAGGTCAGGAGTTCGAGACCAGCCTGGCCAACACGGTGAAACCCCATCTCTACTAAAAATACAAAAATTAGCCAGGCGTGGTGGCAGGTGCCTGTAATCCAAGCTACTCGGGAGACTGAGGCAGGAGAATCGCTTGAACCCAGGAGGAGGAGCTTGCAGTGAGTCGAGATCAAGCCACTGCACTCTGGCCTGGGTGACAGAGCGAGACTCTGTCTCAAAATAATAATAATAATAATAATAATACCCCACATTTCTGTATTCGTTTATGGTCTACAGAGTTTATCATTGGAACTGGGATAGAGTAGAGCCTCAGAGGTTAGGCTCAGAAGTCAAACTGTCTTCGTTCAAATCTCAGGTCTACAATGATCTGTGGGGCCTTGAACAAGTTTCTAAACCTCACCCAGCCTCAGTTTCTCAAGCACTAACAAGGAATGATGTTAATGATATCACCTACCTCTTCAGGGTCGAGGAGTCCTTCTCGTGGCATAACTCTGACCCACTCTTCTGCCTTCCTCTTCCACTTTTAAGAACTCATGGACTAGATTGGGCCCACCCAGGTAATCCAGGATAATCGATCCATCTGAGGATCCTCAGTGTTCATCACATTTGCAAAGTTGTTGACTGATTAAATAATAAAGTGTGTTTGAAGTCCTTCATGTGGTAAGCCTGGATCACAGGAAGCATGGATCAGTTTTTGCTATTCCTGTTATGCCATGTACATTCTCTCTTTGAGAATCCTTGCAACAGCCCCGTGCTACAATGAGAAGACTGCCTGGGATGCAATGACTGGATATGGAGGTGGGAGTTGGGGATGGGAAGGAGTCAGGAGCAATGGCCAGAGAGTTAGCATCTTGGTTTGTAGACTCGACTCTACTGTTAAAAGTAACTCTT